ATAAGTGCTATATACATATATGTATATAGTAAAGAAAAGCTTTGTCAAAAAACTTGCTGTAGTTTTCAAAATAATTAGACCTTATAGAATGAAAAATTAGGCACTTATAGGATGAAAAACACAGGCATTAAAATATATTTCTTTAAAAATTCGTAAAAGTGAACAAAGTTTGGGAAATTTTCCGCCAAATTTCATGATATAAATTCAAATAATTTTCAGTCTGTTTTTCGACGAGTTGCTGGTTGCGAGGTTTGATCCCAAGCATCTGAGAGGAAACGTCGCTTTCTCGGTGTTCCCATAAGCTCAACCTGAGTAGGACGTCTTTCCGACTGCGTTTTTTCTTCTTCCTTAGGATAATGGGGCGTGGAAACCGAATGGTTGTCTTTATTTAAATAATGCTCGTCTGAGTCATTTTGCCTTGTCACTGGCGCTTTATTGTCATGCGTGGTTTTAGGTAGTGGACGAGTCGGTGACTGTGGAGGCGCATGCCAAGTGTCTGAAGCAAAGCGACCCGCTTTTGCTAATCTTATATTATTATCTTCGCTGGGATGCGTTTCTAGTCTCGCTTCTGCTGACTGTCTAGGATGCCTCGGCTTAGGCGGTTGCGCTCTTATTAAGCGTGCTGTCTCTTCGGGGGTTTTTTGGGTTACCGGGCGTTTAGGTGATTGTATAGGAGCATCCCAAGTATCTGAAGCGACGCGGCGCTTTGGTGTTCCCTTCAGATTCTCTTCGTTGGGATGTGTTTCTAATCTCGATTCTGCTGATTTTCTAGCATATTTTGGCTTGGGAATCGATTTGTTTGTTTCACCAAGTCCGTCCTCATATTTCTGTCTTTGTGTGGATACTTTTTCTTCATGGGCTTTGAAAGGTGTTTGGGGTACTGGGTGAATAGGAGATTTCGTATGTTGATCCCAAGCATCTGAAGCAATATGCCTCAGTTTTAACATTCCCTTTAAATCGTCTTCGCTTGGATGCGTTTCTAGCCTCGCTTCTGCTGATTGTCTAAGTTGTCTTGGCTTAGATGGTTGGGCGCTTGTTAAATGTGCTTTCTCTTCGGGGGATTTTTGGGCTACCGGACGTTTAGGTGATTGTGTAGGAGCATCCCAAGTATCTGAAGCGACGCGGCGCTTTGATATTCCCTTCAGATTCTCATCGTTGAGATGTGTTTCTAACCTCGGTTCTGCTGATTTTCTAGCATATTTTGGCTTCGGAATCGATCTGTTTGTTTCACTAAGTTCGTCTTCATCTTTCTTTCTTTGTGTGGACACTTTTTCTTCATGGGCTTTGAAAGGCGTTTGGGGTGCTGGGTGAGTAGGCGATTTCAAATATTGATCCCAAGCATCTGAAGCGATAGGTCGCAGTTTTAACATTCCCTTTAAATCGTCCTCGCTTGGATGCGTTTCTAGTCTCGCTTCTGCCGATTTTCTTGGATATTTTGGTTTAGCAGTTGTTTTATCCATCTCATCAAATTCGTTTTCGTGTTTTTTTCTTGATTGGGGCGCTTTATCATGTGTCATTTTAGAGGTTGGAGATACTAGATGACTAGGTGATTGTACAGATGGACTCCAAGTTTCTGAGGAAATTTCACGCTTTTTTTGTGTGACCTTGAGATCGTTTCCGTTAGGATGTCTTTCCAGTCGCGCCTGCGCTGATTTTCTAAGATATCCACGTTTACCAGTCGTACCATATTCGTCGACACCCTTAGCTGCTGTTTTGGGTGCTACGAAATCGGGAGGTACAAAAGTAGACTTCGATATGACAACTTCATCTGGATGAAACTCATCTTCTTCTTCTCTTCTCACCGAACGCCTCTTTCTTGGTGTTTGATAGCTTGGCGATTCTGAAGTATTAACTAATTTTTTTTGCACTATTGGTATTGCTCTCAAGTAGTCTTGAGTAGGCCGCCTTTCTTGGTTCGGTTGAGAAACCCTTCTGTCCTTGTCATCAAAGCCAGTTTCATCCCAGAATTTCCTAGGTGGTATAAGCAACATGCTTGATGTTTTATCTCCACGTATTTTTTTAGAGGTTTTAAGTAAATCAGATCCTTTCTTCTCCCTTGACTCAAATTTCTCAACGAGATTTTTTTTCGTTACGGGCGAGGTTCCATGCTGTCTAGCCTCGCGCGTTTTTTTCGTTGGTTTCGACACGCTCACATCGAAACCATTCTTTACACCGATACTTTTAAGATAGTTTGGCAACATTTCTTTAACAACCGATTCCTTGTAACTACGTTTAGCATCTACATTTTTGTCAAGCGCTTTCTTCCAGGAACCTGACGTCTGCGTTGCTTTTTCCATTTTTTTCTTTACAACTTTCTGTTTTATAGCATCTGTCGGACTATACTGCTTTTGATATTTTTTGGAAGGTCTCGTGGGCCCTTCGCTCTCGTCGCTGTCTGCGCTGCTGGCATTTGTAGACTGGGCTGTCGGCCCCCGCCATTCCTCGTCTTCGTTGTACATGGGATCTGTTGAACTATCGGCATAGGGATGTTCTGATTGCGTGTTGTCTGCTTCCCATAGACTTTTCATTTCTTCTTCCGATTCAGTGTCCTTTGTAATTTGTGACTGTTTCCATACCTTTCCCGTTTGTAACGTAAAATCCGGAATTGGTGTTTTTTTAGAAGTGTCTTTTGGAGTACGATGAGGACACTCGCACAACGATGGGAAATGTCGTTCCAACTGCAAAATTAAGAATATTAAGTGATTTAAAAGGAATAAGAGACGTAACTTACGTAAACAAAAAGAAATTGACCGATTCCATAAGTCAGCACCATGACTAAGAAAAACTTGAAAGCTTCAACACATAAATTTACGCTCAAGCTTAAAGAGCCTATTACCAAACGCTTTGTATAACATTCGAATTTCGAAATCATGGTTCCATAATTAATTCTTACTCCGGCTTATGGTTTAATTTTTATCATAATTTTTTTTTTTTACTTTAATTTTGTTGTTTCTCATGAGATTAATATAAATAATTTTAAAAAAAATGTCAATTGAAAATGACAAATAATAAATGGCATAATGTTCTCTGGCGCAATATAATATTATATATAATGCTTTGCAAATGAAATGTTCGTAAGACTGTCATAGTCAGTTAGTTTCCTTTACAAAATCATTAAATTAAGTAATTACAATTACGTTAAAAAAAAAAAATCGCCCATATATAAAAATTGTTTATAGGTGGACCTTTTGCTACTTAGCTAATTTCTTGATTTTCTATATCCAAAAAAAATGTATATGTACACTTGAGATAAGATCGAAAATAGCATTCGAAAAATTACGGAAATAGAAGACTGAACATTTTCAGTCAATACAGCGTGTCATTTTCCGTCTGGTTCGACAGTGTATACGAAAAACAAGACCACGCCTGCGTCTGAGTTCCCTTCTAAGCCCTGCTGTACAAGCACTTTCCTTGCGGTAAAACGTAATGAGATTTGCAAATGGTCACAAAAATAATGAGAACATGAGATTCCGGTTATGTTAAAACGGGATGAATTTTTCTATCCATACAGAAAAGAGTCTCATATCGAGCGATCAGCAACCGCCGCGTATCTGTGAGTTTACAAAGCAAGGCCATCAACTCGGCATATCTTGGTTCCATGTTCGATCCGCTAAACCATATTTTTATCAGGTTTGGTATATGGTTGCAGCTATAATGAATGTTCGGTCAGTGAAGAAATAAAACGTTACGTTCAGATATACACCTCCCACTCTACGGCATCTCCCTGTCTCTCTCTTCTTTCCCCTTCTTGCTCAACGTAATAGAGAGCCTCCCGCGCGGGAGTGCAAGAAAAAAAAACCAGCAGTGGCAGTGCAATTTATTGGTGAACATTAATACCCAGTTGAACGATTGGTTTGGAGTAACCAGTATTTTACGAAGAACGATACGGCTGGCTAATGTTAGATAAATTCATGAAGAATAATTTTTTTCAGCCAACATATGATACACCGAAGATTATCGGCTCACTTTACGATCTTCATTGCTGGCATTGAAGCAACCAAATCGGCTATAAACTAGTCTCTCGAATACGTCCAAAAGTCCATAACATATCCTGGCTTCGTACTTGTGGCCAAGTAAGCTTTAGATGCTAGAATCTTTAAGATTTTAGCCTTAGCATTTGTTTTTTTTGGCTAATAGTAATAGAAATAATATTCTGACTTCTTAATCGCTATCGAATCCTTTTCAAAAATAAAAAGGTGATTGAAGGGCGAAGGTATGATAGACAGAATAAGAAATTACAGTTATAACTAAAACATTGTCGAACCCATACTGAAATCGTTAACTTACCACGTTTCTTTAATGACTTAAATAATTAGATATTCCTTTATTGTCCGATAGCTCTAAGTGTAATTCGGCGCCAAACTTACTATTAGCTTGCGCAATTAGGATAAGCTCTTCAGGTAAAAAAGTTCATGTGTACACTTTATTTCCTTTTGTTTAAAATTCTGGAATCGCTGTAGTTCCTTTTTTTTTATTCTTCTCTTAGATTTCCTCTCCTTGTTCACAAGCGCCTGCTTGAATGGCTTCTTTTTTTACACATACTCCGATGAAAGTGGTACGTCAGTCACTCTTTTGTATTGTTTGCAACAGGCCTGTAACAGTTGTAAAAGTAAAAAAAAAGTTTACCGTCTGGAGTAATATGTCAAAAATAGTGAAACAGAAAAGTTAACTATTATCTTTACAAAAGGTATGTCCGTATCAGCAAATTGAAAATGCTACTCAATAACTAAATCAATGTTCTGAAAATTGGTATAAAACCAATGTATTCATTTAATTCAATACTATATAATTTACATATATTTACAAAAAATTTTTCATAAATCACAGACTTCACATCTTTACCTTTATAAGCTACTCTTCTTTCAAAGCGCAAGACTACGTCTTTCTTTTATACTTTGTTTCAAACTCATTCTCTCTCGCTCTCCAAAATCCATAATGCTCTTATTACTCTCTTATTACTTTTATAAGTTTACAATATATATAGGATATGAATTAGATTTTCATCCAGTCTTACGGCGAGGGGGCGAACGCTGCTTTTTCGAAGTTTCCGGAGACGGAGAATGGTTTTCGGATTTCGTGCCTTCTGATTTCCTAGCAGCCGCTCGATTTTTTTCACCCAAATTACGCCCGGTTACACTTTCTTTTGGAGTACTTGCTGATGTCGCTTTATCTTCGTGCGTTTCTGCAGGTAATGGAGAAGATAGTGATGGGGAAACGGGATCCCAAGTATCTGAAGCGACCCGATGCACTTTCGGTGTTCCTTTTAGAAAGGATTGAGCTGGACTAGAGTTGGATTCCTCCATTTTATGTGACTCAAACTCATCGCGCAGTTTTCTTCCGCGTGTAGGGTCCCTATCTTCTCGTGATTTTTGATGTATTGCCACCTTACGGGATACGGCCGTTCCATCATATATTACATATGGTGTTGATTGACTTCGTAAAGGAGATGTACCTTCACGTGGGCTTTTAGGTGTTGAAGTGTTGGCAGGTGCGGAAGCCGACATCGACTCATCAATTTCATTTGCTTCCAATTCTTCTACACGCCCGCTCCTTTCCAAAGGAGGTCTATCTCCACGTGAGTGTTTAGAGGTTGGAATAATTATGTTCTTTTTTTTTGTGCTAGGTATCAATCTATCCACTCCATATGGATCTACTACATATGGCGTTGATTGGTTTTGTAAAGGCGATGTGTCTTTACTTAGAGGTGTTGATTTACTGGGACATGCAAAGGTAAACATCGATACGTCCTTATCATCCAAAGGTGATTTATCCCGTGGTTTTTTAGGTGTTCGTGACACTGGAACACCAATTGATGGTGCAGATGGGTTCCAAGTATCTGAAGCAACACGCCGCACTTTCGGCGTCCCTTTTAGATAGACTTCACTCAAATAACGTTCTAGTCTCGAATCAGCTGATTTTCTGAAATCTTTTGGTATATAAGCCGGTCTGTCCACTTCTTCGCTCATTTTATATGCATCTATATTTCGGCGTAAAGGTCTTGATATATGGGGTTCAACCGATTGTGGTTCATATTGTTCTCTCTTTAAACTATCCCTTTTCTGGATTCCATCCCGAACTTCCTCCGTCCGTCGTGTTTCTTTTGTTGCTTGATCATGTTTTCTGCGTACAGGAGGTTGCATTTCTAGCATTTTTGGTTTATTGATCTCTTTGGTTTCATGGGTTGGCTTAAATGGCTCAGATGGAACTTGTTCGCTTTGTTTTTTTATGTTTTCATCTGCAATTGCTCCATCTGGATTTCTAGGTTTCGCGGATGAAGTTAGTTCACCTTGTTCTTTCCTTGATATAGGAAGTGGCTCGGATCCCGCAGATGTCATTAGCAATTGTTGCTCCTCTTTCTTCCTATAAGGTTCCTTTTCTTGCTTTACTGTTTTCGACGAATTAGGCTCCTTATTCTGTTCATTTTTACCTTCGGATCCACAGCAAAAGCCAACCATTTTAGCCCAACAGCCCTTTTCGATTGTTGTTGGTTTAGTCTCTTCCAACTCTCCCTTCAACACAGCTCTGCGCTCCGTCTTATGTGCTACTTCGCCCTTAGTTTCTATTCGTTTTCTGCTTGTAGGGGATGTAATGGCTCCCTCAGTTGCTATCGCTTCATCTGGTTTTCTGAATTTCTCAGATACTTTTGATTCAGCTTTTTTACTGGATCCAGCAGACGGCTTGAGCCCATCAGATGGTTTTTGTTGTCCGTGTACAGGGCTCGACCGGAGTCCTTCAGACGGAGCAGGAGACGGGTTGATTGTGTCAGTGGACTGCATTTCATAGGTTTCTCCCTTCACAAGACGTGGCTTGGCTTTTCCAGATGGTGCAGAGTCCAGCTTTTGGTCTGTCTCGGGTGCTTTCCTCTTTAGCATTGTAAGGTGACGCCCTTGAGCGTCTTCTCCTCTATATTTCGTTTCCATATCGCCTATCTCCTCCACGTTTCTAATTCCAATTTCTCTTCTAGCAACAGTGTGTAATTCGAATCTATGGTATGCTATTGGATGACCTCTAGCCCTTTCAGCCTATCATCGAAAAAAAAAACAAGTGAAGTTAATGTTTTCCATCTATTTTAATAATGTACTTACGAAATAAAATAAACTGTAAGCGATTCCCACCGCTAGAAGTAGTACAAAACAGAACTTTGCCACTTGGAATGCAACATACCACAGGCAGCTGCACAAAATTACGACCGCAGATCTCAAAACAAGCGCGCAAGCCTTACCGACGTTTATTATCGCCTGCTTCAACATTTTGCCATTTCTTTAAGGGTAACTTATTTATGAATAGATCTTCTTTTTCTCAATGCAGAGATATTGATTTCATAGAGATTTATGTGAAAATTCGTATTAATGTAAGCCCAAAAAGTTCGAATGCCAAACAATAAAAAATTTTTAATTATCTCATTTAGTTCAAATAATATGCCATTTCCAAATTTTTTTACGTATATTTATAAAAATAAAAGTGTTCGCACTGATCGAAGTTTAGGTACTTTTATATTTTAAAGTAGGCAAAATATATAAATGTATGTACTGTATATATAATATAATACAAAGCTACTACGTGTTTCTTCATCCGCTTCGAAACGGTACAGTATTCTAAAATAAAAAAGATCTTTGTTTATTTTGCAGCGACGCGTCTTCCACGATAATGTTGTGAGAAGATTACGTTGGACGTAAGTAGTTAAGCAAAAGAAACATGCTCAACTTGCGGATAAGGGGCGAAAATTATCACTTCATTGAAGAAGTGTTTCACATCTGGGTAAAAATTTATGTTTAGCCTTTGAAGTCAATAGTCACGATGCCGTAATCAACTAGCCTACGGCAGCATATGCCTTATAATTAAAATTGCAGCAAAATGTGTGTCGAAATTCGGAAATATTGACAATTGGGCGCTTTATAGCGGTGTGACATTAGTATCTCAATTTAGATATGGCCTTTTCCAAGTATTACATATTTATTGATATAGTAAACTGCATGCAACTGTGCTACAATAAGCCTGTTTAAAGCGCACCACCTCTGCTAAAATATGTCAAATTCAATTCACTTTAAGGCACAGAAAGTGAAGACCGCGTTGCCTCAAAAGCCGTCTGTACAGTGCGCTGCTGCAGCAAACTGCTCTACAACTTAAGTAAAAAAAAAAGAACAAAATTTTCATGCTGTATAAAAGTGGGAATTTATATCGTGTATGTGTTGCCCTTTATGAGCAACAAGCAAAGAACAACAAACAAAGGTGTTCCCAATTTTCGTTACATAAACGTGTGTACGTTCTAGGCGTTTTTTGATTTGGGTCATTTTCAAATTCTTTTGCAATTTTGTGAGCGATATTTTCATTTTTGCAACCATGTGAACGCTTATCGCAGGTCGTACGCAAATGTCCACAGGTACATATGAGTGGACAGACATGTTTATGTGCATTCTGAATTTGAAATTGGTTAAGAATTTATATACCTTACCTTGTTTCTGTGCGTTATAAAAATGAAAAGAAAAACAAATTTATGTTATGACATTCTACAAAGTTAAGCAGACATGGCTGATTTTTCCATTTTTGTAGAGCTACAGCATCGCCCATAGAGAGTCAAATGTTTGTAATTTAGCTACCATAGCTTATTTATAATGAGCGAAAACCCATTTTTGTCTTGCTTTCGCAAAATAGAGGTGTCCTCAGCCTACGTAGAACTGTAGGCGTGCACTTCGACCAATTTGGCTCATTCTTCGTACCAACCTGCGCAAAAGAGCTTCCAATTCGTTTGCCATAGTTAAAGTCGACGGCTTCATTTTTGGTGGAAAAGTAAATGTTTACAACAGACATGGCAGAGACAAACAAACAGATAAACAAGCTAGAAATCTGATAAGAGAAGACTAAAGAAAGCTCTTAAGTTGAACAACCTTTTAAAAGTTTTCATAAAATAATTTACATTAATTTAATAGAATGCAATAAAATTTAGATTCATTTACAAATAATTTTTGTGTCTCACAGATATTTGCCTTTCTCTTAAGCTTCTCCCTTGAGAGAATGGTTTCGTTTTTTCTTTATTACGTTGAATGACGTGCGCGTATTACTTGCACGATTCAGTTGCTTCTAGTTTTAGAACTTGATTTGTCTGACTCCTCCAAATCGAACTCATCTAAGAGCTTTCTTCTTCGTATAGGTCTTCTATCCTCATGCGGAATATTAGATGTATATTCATATTTAAGCCTTTTAGGTGTTGAAGTACCAGCAAGTGCAGACGTAGACACCGACTCGTCAATTTCATTTACTTCAAATTTTTCTACACGACCGCTCCTTTTTGAAGGAGGTCTATCTTCACGTGGGCGTTTAGAGGATGGAATAATTACGTTCTTTTTTCCTGTGCTATATGTCGAACTATTCATTTCATATGGATCTATTCTATACGCTGTTGATTCCTTCGGGAAGTGTGATGTCTCCTCACGTTGTCTTTCAGGTGTATAGATAAGAGCAGGTGCGAAAATGGAAATTGATTCGTCAATTTCATCGCCTGCAAATCCACCTATTCGTTTAATTCTTTGTAAAGGAAGTCTATCTTCCACTGGTCGTTCAGACGATGATCTCCTATGATGCAAGAAGGTATGTCTTTTAGCTGCCTTGGGTATCGAACTTTCTATTTCGTCTGAACTTAGCGTATCTGCTGTTGATTTATCTTGCAAAGGCGGCATTTCCGCTTCAAATTCGTTTAACAATTTCCTTCTTGGTAAATGCAATCCATTCGCTTGTGGTGTTCTTGGTGTCTCATACGGCGGGACACTATGTGATCGCATATCTGCACCAAGGCGTCGTACTTTGGGAGTGCCTTTTAGATGGACGTCATTGGGATATCGTTCTAATCTTACGTCTACTGCTTGTTTAGAATATTTTGGCATAAACGCCGATCTGCTCACGTCGCCAATATATTCATCACTTGTTGAACGCGGTATAAGTGTGTTAGATGATTGTGGATCGTTCTTTTGTTCTCTCTCCAAGATCGTAGTGAAAGCCTTTTCTAATGCATCTCTTTTCATTAGTCTAGTCCACATCCGTGCAACATCATCTATGTTTTCTTCAACGTGTTGCTCTCTTTTGCGTGCTTCTTCCTGCAATAATATTTCAAATGCCTTTTCAAGAGCTTTTATTCTTGGTGTCTCAACTAACTCTTCTTTCATTTGTCTTACGTCTTTGCTATTTTCACCTTTTCTTCTGTCTAGAGTATGCGGGATGGGACTTTCAGACGAACTCAATTCACTTCGTTGTTCTTTATGATTATTTTGCCATCTTTGCCCAGCAGGCGGTCTAATCCTCTCAGATGCGATTACTTCATCTTCTTTTATAGGTTTTTGAGGAACAATTGGTCCATGTTGCTTTTGAGATTCTTTCAGTGTATCAACCGATTTTTTTTCCAGCGTTTCTTGTTTTTTCTTTACCATTCTAGCCCATTCCTCTTCCATATTACTCCATCTATACTTCTCGTAACCATCTTTCCTTGTAGATGGAATGCGTGATCTATACATCCTAGATGTTGTCAAATCGTTCTCACTAAAAAGTTCTTCAGACTCTGTTAGCCCGTCCTCTCTTCTGTCTATAGCGGCTGGAAATGGACGATATTTATCATGGGGTCCTTGCATTTTTTCTGTTTTCAAACTTTTAGCCTTTTTCGCTCCCATATCACCTATTTCTTCCTTATGTATGCGTCGGCTTGGAGAAATACGGCGCGTTTTCTTCTTCCACCAATCAACCAAGCTACCAAGCCTACGACTTTTTTCTAATATTGCGGTTTCAGGTATCTCAAGCTTATCTCCTATCTCTTCCTCAGTCAGTTCATCATGCCTTGCTAGTATTGTTTTTTGTCTTTGTGCGTCAGTTGACACCGGCTTATCTTCTTTTTTGGCTATTGTTTTCCACGTTTCAGCAAACTGCCTCTCTAGTGCTCCTCTGGTCATCATTTTCAAGTATTCTTCTTGTGCTTCTCTCTTCAACATTCTAGCGTATCCCTTTTCGATATCCTCCATTTCCTCATCATCTACATCCATGTCCGCATCTTCATCTTTATCTTCACTTTCATCTTCACCTCCATCTTCATCTTTAGCTTCATCTTCATACTTATTTTTTAACTTAAGTTCGTCTCCTCTGAATTTACTCGATGGTATTAATTTACTCCAATGTGGAATAACAGACACAAATCTTCCGGAAGCCTATTAATTCAAATGATACATTCCAATAAGGACAAACTCCTTCTTCTTTGCTAATTTGGAAGTATACTTACAAAAAAAAAAAGGCTGTAGGCAATAACGAATACCAAAAACAATGCAAAACAAAATTTGATCACTTCAAACGCAACACACAACATGTATCTAATCGTGATTAGCAAAGCGGTTGTGAACAATTGTTCAAAAACTCTCCTGAAATCATCTACCACATGCTTGATCATTCTGCCATTTTTTTCACGACAACTTTACGCAATGAGAATGGAAACTTTTTCCCAATATAATGATTTTAATTGCATAAAGATTTATGTGAAAATCCGTGGCAACGTGAATTTAAAATGTCCGATTGCCAAAAAAAAAAATTAAATAAATTTTTTTTTATTATATCATTTTTTCTCTTTAGTTTTTCTCATTATTGTTAATATATTTTTAATATTAATAAGGGATGAATGAGTTCATAGTCGCGCTGACATGTCAGAGTTTTTTAGTTTTCGAAAAATTTTTTTAAAAATCAGGTGACGAAAAAAATTGTGACTTTGCATCTCTTCGATATCTAAGAATTCTAGAGAATTTCAGAAATTGGCGTTACGCGCCTATAAAATATTTGCATTTTACAAAGGTTTGGATTTGTTATTATTTTTATTTTACTTCAATTTTGCTTAAGAATAATGCGTATGTTGAACAATTGAAAATGAGATATCTGTTAAACTAGTAAACAGTCAAAA